CAGCATCAGCTTCTGGCAGAACACTGAGCTCACTGTCCCCTCTAACAGGTTTTATGCATGTGCTTTTCTCCCTTGGGCTGGCATTAACACAGACTCTAGATGATATGTTACAGCTCACTAGCAGGAAAAAAAAAAAGAAAGCAAACCAAAGCAAAAAAAGTAAAATATGAGAATGACATAAAAAGATCTGATCTTCAAACTACTCTTTTAGAAAACATGAGCTAGATTTGTCAAGTAACAGTAATAAACACTTTGACTGGATGAACAGAGCTTGAGTGTCCAGAAAAGGAAGCTGTATGCTGCAACAAAAATACCAAGAAGGAAACAATTTACTCTTTGAAAACAGAGGAGAATGCAGGAAATTAATAAACACTTTTTCTATCAAAATACCTGAGCTACATTTTTAATTGGTCTGTTTTAACGATATTGCTACATTAATCTTGACCAAAAAATAACTCAATGTGTGTTTTCAGCTTTGTATATTTACTAAGCTGGCTGCCCAACTTTACACAGTCACAGATCCTGAACTAAATCAGACCAGATCATTAAGGGCCTTTGTTCAAGACTGATGTATGAGCACAAATGTCATCAACAGGATATGAGCATGAGATAAATATTTCACACCTGGCAGAGCTGTTTAAACAAGATCACATAAAGGAAATGAACAGGTATTAAGTAGCAGACATTTCTTAGTACACTGTCTCGGTAAGTACCATAAAGCAGAGAAGCAAGAAAGTAGATGCTGCCCATAAATAACTCTTTCCACATAATTCATATGGTGAAAGATACACACCAAACATTTGCACATTCCATGTCCTACTGCTACAAAGTTAGATTTCTGCTTCCTCCATCTTCTAACATTGTGATGACAACGCTTTCACTCCCACTGTGCCTGATCATTAATGATCCACTCTGTAATAACAGAAATTCACCTCACAGGGGAAGTACAGTGTCTAGTGAATTTAGAGAAGTAAACAATTTGGCCAATCTACCACTGTTAAATGCAAATCAATTTTCTGTGGCTCTCATTTTATTTATACAATTAAAATGGCATCAAAGATTGTTTGTATACTTGTAATAAATTTAACTGTAGATGAAAGTGTGTTTGAAACTAAAAACTTAAAAGCAAGCATAAGGAATATTTTCTAGAGAACACTTTTTGTAAAGAAAAGAATTAACCTTCGCAGTTAAATTAACTCAACTACAAGCATGACAATAGGAAGTCTTTTCGTTTTTAAAGCTTCATTATTCATAAACTTCTTTATTCTAGTAATTCTAAACAGTTTTTATTTTAGTCACGCAATTCACTTCCACAATCTTTAAGTTGATTTTATTGCAATACCTCCTACCTGATAAAATACATGCAAATACATACAATGCTTTTCATTACAACTAATATTTAGAATCTTAGGAACATTAAGCCTCATATCTCCTGAAGCCAGGAGAGAATAGCTTCAATTTTTCATGTCTTAAAAATTTATAAAATACGATCATGCACTCAAGGGCAGCTCTAGTTTATCCAAATCTCTGTAAAGCATATCTTAAAGAAAAAAAAAAACAGAAAAACAAAACATTAAAAATTCTCCACCTAGAATGAAGATGAATGATTCACCTTCATTGAAATGAAGACAGTGCTACAAAAGCAGATAGGCATTAGGTCCTAAATCCAAAGATCTGTAACTTCACCGAAATAAAATGTTACAAAAATAAGAGCTTCAAGTGCATGCATGTCTTTAGGAGGGGCAGCCTTTCATTTAATGTTGATCAGCTGTGGAACAGCTAAGGCAAGTCAGCATGCTGCTGGGCTGTTCTCCGGGGAGCAAAACCTTCCAGCTGCCCTGGCAGTTACTGGCAAAGGTATTATTACTGCATTTGCAAACAGCAGCCACAATCAGCAAGTGTTTTAATGAACTAGCACACAGTCGGGTAAGCAGCATCAAGGATGTCACAGGTAGTAACAAAGTCTTTAAAAACTCTAACCCTTCCTGCTGCTGATTGATTCTCTATCAGGGAACAGATTAAATAATTCCAAGTAAAAATATCAAAATTAGATTTTCAATATACGTAAATAGTTGATGTTAATTACTTTGTTATTGTTGTTGTTACTTAAACACTGTATCAAAAATGAGTGGTATTTTAGATGGTTATCATACCTAAAGAAAGCTGAGAACAGTGTTCAGTAAAAGGCTCCAGGGACACAGTTTTATTTATTCATTCGTCTTTACTTTTAATATGAACTGAAGTCAGAAACTTTTACATATTAATTACATGTTATTTTTGTTTTTCTGATGGACCATAACCAGAGTAGGACATATTTAATCAAATAGACAATTAGGAGGATTTGAGGGAGAAATGTCATATATTTTCAGGCTATGCTTGAAAATGAGAAAGCATACCTATAAAGAGTCCATAATTTTAGAATACAAGTTTACATTTAGAATAGTCATACCTGCAGTTTCCTACGGAGAGATCTTTTCAATTTTAATTGTAAATATTCAGCATTTTCAAGCACAACTAGTATTTCACCTCTGACTTTAGTACTGTGTTTTACATTTTCTGGCCTTAACAGAGAGGCAATAGAAATCATTTAGCGAAAATAATGTCATTAATCACAGTCAATCAATCCACTGCAAATGCAAATCCTCCCAAAAGCCTACTCTTTCTGCAATATCTGAAAGTATATGTAATTATCATCAACTAAGAGCCAAGTATTTGCACATACTTCCCTAGCAAAACCATATCATCCTGCTGGTATCTTTCTCATTTTTCTAACTCCTTGCTTTTGTTTTGCTAGGTCTTGCCCTTATTTACACCACAAGGGCAAAAATTAGAGGCAACTGTCTGAATCTGAATACCTAAAGTCAGTATTTCAGGAAACTCTAAAATAGAGTTCATTAGCTTTAGGGATGAGACAATCATTACTCTTTCCTTATGCAAGAAACTTCTTATGCAACTTAATGCAAGCCAAACCTCCTAGGACCTCAGTAAATACATAGCTTTGGATGTGTCCCTCTGTACCTAAAATGTTTAAGATCTGGGTTCAAGTGGTAACTGAAATCCTTTGGAGCCTGATGAAGTCAGCTAAGAAGAACATAACCCATAAACTGCAGGTGTTCATGGTGTAACTTTTCTCTAAAAAATCCTTTTCTGTTTCTCTGTTTCTGCTACATCTCTTCTGTATTTTTCTGTTTATTCTTTGATTTCTCAGCCTCCTTTGGACTGAATTCTTTTGGGATCCTCCCTCGTGGGAAGTCCTGCTTATCTCAGTTCTCATGATTCGAAGAAAACTCCCGAGTTTGTTAGAATCTTGTTTCTCATGTTTATTAACAGGTGATCACGAAACTTAACAGGTCTCTCCAGGCTGGTTACACAAGGTTAATCTTTGCAATCTGGTACATTTCTTTCTTCTGATGGTACAAACAAGGCCTTGTGGCACACTTCGTGTCTGATGCACGAAATGGCCCCGAAATATGCAGTTCTTTTATCTTTATACCTATTTTTACCCAATTAACAATAGACAAGTATATTATTTTCCTTAATGACCCAATGACCCATCACCTCTGTGATGCACTGCGGCATTTTCTGTCCAATCACTTACTATTACCCAAAAACCTCTAGGAGAAGAACATGAAGAAGAAAAAAGAAGGGACAAGGGACAACACCCTAAATCCTCCATCTTGTCTCCTGTTCTCTAAACTAAGTTTTTCACCCAGTGATTTAAAAAACTTTCTAATCTACACACTTACAGTTTTAGCTTTTTCTAACTTTAACATTTGTTCTCATGTATCACCATGAAAACTTGCTCATGAATTTCATATTATATGAAATTCAGTGTTTTTCTGGATCTTATAACTAAATATCAGAAACAAGGGCACACACTCTGTATTCCAGACTCCAACACATGGCATCCCTAGTTTAGGTAACTTCCACTGGAAACAAAGCCTGCAGCAGAGGCAGTAGGAGCCATCCAAGCAGGTGAAACTCCTTCCTGAATGCCTGCAGTCCCAGTTATTTCTCCAGAGGGTTTGGGGATCCCATACAGTGAAGACATCCTCAGAATTAGAAATACAACATACTCTACAGCTGAATACTCATCCTACTTTAAATGCAATTAAACTAAGCTATCATTTGCAGCAGCTGACTTACTACTTCTAAAATTATATTTCTAAAAATTTAGGACTATTACTAAACCTACACTGTTTGGACCACTTGGTATGCAAATTTCTACCAAGGCACCAAAAAAATTAATGCCAGGCATACACACATGACAGTAAAGAATGCTTTCACTTACAAGCAGTTGCTGTTACTGTCCAGCCCTATTCAGAATTACTGGTCACTTCAGGCAAGTAAAAAAACCACAATTATTTTTAAGCGGAACAATTAACTGTATTGATGAAAATCTCCCCCAGATAGTGGATTTAGGGTCTTTTCATTCAGGAAAATTATTTGCTAGGCCAAGGCTCACTAACCCTCCTGGTACAGTTCACATGCTAAGTTCTAATTTGGTTTAAATACAAAAAATGAGACTAAAGTTTCTAAATTAAACCAATCACATCTGCAAACAATAATAAGGAAAATAACCATCACATTCTCACCACTTTTCCACACCCCACAGTCCCAACCATTCTTGTATTGCAAGTTGGTGAACAAAGTCAATGTAATACAGTAACACTCTCCCTAAAGTGAAAAGGAGTTTCACACTAGGACTTTCTAGAGGTGCAGGAGTTTATTCTCCACTGATACTTAAATTATTTGGAAAAGTTAAGAGTACTGTAAAATATATGTCTTTTTACACCTTACCTCTAAGTTAAGCATACTGCAGTTGCTATTGACAAAGCCATTTCTCTTTGAAATACTCTGAAGACATGCTTTGGATATAGTACTTGTGGAATTCATAGATAAGCTTGCCCACAAGCAGCATTAATTAATAATTAAAATCCTGTTGGGAATTCACTGTTTCTACAAGACCTGAATATTCTGTACTCAACTTTATTTTGCAGTGTTTTCTCAATATGTTATGGCCATGCACCTATAAAAGTCAGAAGAAGAAACATGAACAAGAAAAAATTAAGCGGTGATGGAAAAATCTTTGCCAGCAGTAACCTCAGGTAAACAGAGTATACTTCAAATCATGCCTTGGAGCAAAAGCTCTCTTCAAATATTAGCACCAGTTAGGACAAGAGGCTTTTTGTTGTTTACAACAATAAATGAAGTGCTGTTCACTTTCTTCAGAAGGCTTCTGAAGGACATGTAATCAACCTACACACCACAAATCATTCCAGGTTCTTTTGCAGGTTTTGCTCAGTGACAAATGGTTGTGCCACCCTGACAAAATAAGTGTCTGCACTTGCAGAACATGCAATAGGAAAAAAGGTCAAACCCAGCATATAAATATACACAACACAGGCTGCTAATTGCAGAGGGAATAAATGAAAAGCCCCACATAACTAGAGGCTTTTGGTATGTATATAATACAAATGACTTACACTTTGATATATTACAGTTTGGGCCAATTACATATGTTACAGTTTTTAACTTGTTTTGGTTTTTTTTACAGTTTTATTGAGTGATTGACATGAGGTAACAGAACAAAAAAAAGGCCACCTTCAAGATCTTACAAATACAAGAGAATAACCATATTTTGGGCAGTCTCAAATAGCTGTTTTGCTCCTGTGATGTGACAAAGCTCTCTCTCTGGTTACTTAAAATTCTTAACACGGCATGAAATTTAACCCTAATGGCTTCTGAAGAGGGAAAACTTCTGGAAAAGTTAAAATTAATGAGACAGTAAATAAAGCTATATGAAATACAGTTAAACTATTTCCAGTACAATGCCCACCCAGCCAACTAAGCCAGAGCCATCTGGCATAAACACAGACACAAGCAGAATCTAAAGCTTCAGATGATATTTCTGGGGTGCTCTCAAAAGAATAATGATTCATCTGCTTTTCCATTTTTCAAAGAATGGATGGGCAACCTCGGAAATAGCTCATGAACTCAAGCTTAGGTTCAATAGTTTGCAAAGCTATTGCATATTGTAATCCTGAAATTCAGATATGAAGAAAGGGAAGTATTATTCAGGCACAAAATTACTGTCACCAAAAAAAAAAGAGAAAAATTATAACCTTGGAGAAAATGAAAAATATTTTTAATAAGTTAAAAGTGAAATATTTTTTATGTAGTCTAAAACTCAGTCTATAAAAAATAGCTACCTTCAACTGCTCCCTACTTCATCAACAGTACGGCTGTTAGAGAAGACAAGCTGAAACCTCCACAGATTTATTGGCTTTCCTGCTGATTGTTTCAAATATTACCTCTTCCCCAACAGTAGGCAGTTATTTTACCATTTTCATCTGATACACAGAGCTCACCATAATTAACTGCCTTGGGAGTCTGCTGGTTTGAGGATTAATGCTGTGTTCTCCTGTATGGGTCTTAGGATGCAGGGTGCCTGACTAGCAGGGAATACTTTTCAGTGGAATTATCACTCCTAAAAATTCAGCTACTGGTAGGGTTTTCCTCCAAAGGGCTGAATTTATTATGCACGCTCTTGAGGCCATTTCACATATTGCAAGAGGTTCATTGCAATCTATGCATTCATTTATATTTCATACTATACTGTGATTTTCATGCATTTTCAAGTTCAGAACAAAGTGAAAACTGAGTTTTAAAACCTAGCTAGTGCTGGATTATAGTATATTATGCAAACAATGGAAACAATCAGTGTTTAGAGCTTTTGGTTCCTCCAGATCTCTGTCTCTCTCATTATTATCTAAAAGCTCACCAACTGTCTGCCTTGAAAGATTAAAGGGCTCTTTGAAGAGAGATCAAAAAGGTCACTTAGGTGTAATGGGATTCCTTTAGTTCAACCATTCAGGATGCTCCTGAAAAATTCCCTTCAGTTTATGTTGCTCAGTAGCAAGGGAAATACTAAAGCATTTCAAGATTTGTGGCAGCTAACCAGCAAGTGTTTATTGCTAGAGGATTGCAAGGACCTAGACATGATTCCTGTAAGTAAGAAATAAAGGAAAATAGAAAGATCAGCAGCAAACCTGGCTTCTCTTCTGAGGAAGCTATTGGACACTGATATGGCAGAAGCATTTAAAACATTTAGAAATTTATTATTTATGAAGAGGCTGTCACTAGGAATTTATCAAAGAGAGATAAAGGCTCACAAATTTGTCTGAATTCTCAAAGTGTGTTGCTGAGTCAGTAGATATAGATAAAATGCAGTGGAAACGATCTCCATTTCAACATTTGATACTGTGATAATTTCCAGCAGCTCAATTTGCAGCCTCTAATCAGAAAACACAGATTAAAGAGGGCAGGTACAGGACAACAGAAAGCCAAAGAAAACAGTTGTGCTTTGAAAGGAACACCAAGACTGAAAATGTTCTCCTACAGCATCCCAGTGAACAGGGATCCCAGTGAACATTTTCCACCTGAACTTTCCACAATTTAAAGCAATTATTGACACCACTTGAGCTCTGTGTTCATATGAGTTCTGAGCCCCAATACTGTATTAATTCCTTATTCTATACAGACATTCTAGGTTTAGGCTGGTTCATGTCATTTTAGACATTAAGGACATTAACCAGCATTTGGCACCAGGCTATCTTGTTCCAAAAGAGAAAAATAATAAAAAGCGACTTCTTGGTTGGGACCAAAGCTTTAAAAACTAACCAATTACCCTAGATTATTCAAAGGAATGGCAGAGACATCAGGGTGGTATATTCCTGATTGACTTCTACCCACAAATAAAGACTTAACTATTTACCCTTGCTCAAACTGAAAAAAAAATAAAAATCTCAACACATTTAAAAAATAATAGCAGACCTCAAATGTCTTCACATTAAGATTGATTAACATGGAGTATTGATATCCAGGGGTCACAGGCAAAAACTGGAAAACTGAGGACTGGTAAATAAATATACAACTTGTAATTTTTCTTTAGGTAACTGATGGAAAAATTTGCTCCCAAGAGAAATAGTATATTTTATGAAACAGGAGTACTGTTTCCAAAGAGAAAGTGACATAGGTTAGTGCTAGAAATTTACCTGCATCAATTCCAATAACACATTATTAAGCTCCTGAATACTCAATTACTTAGTATGGATATCTGATCCCAAAGAAACATTTTAGATTCTACAGTCTCTGAAAAGAAGGTGGGGGGGCGGGGGGAAAGGCCATAACTGTGACAATTGGTTTTACTGATAAATTAAAATATTAATACAGCTGGAAAGTTGTACCTTTTCCCAGAAATTTATGAAAAAAAAAGTTGGTTGATATTTCAAATTGATTTTTCTTCCCCCAGAGGATGTGAAAAATTCTTAGGGAAATTACTTCATGTTTAAAACAAACTAAAAGGATAAGTAAACAAAGTAAAAGGCTATTCTACTTTCCTTATAAAAGGATAAATAGGATATACTGGGATAATTAAATACTTATCTATTTCAGACCTTGAGTCTATGTGCCAAATGGAGTAGATTATTTAGGAACGTGAGGGATGAGTGTATACATATTTCATCACTTCCCCTTCATTTTGATGATCCTGAGCATTATAAACCTCAGTCTATTCTCAAATGAACATTTAAAATAAAAATTTAGACCTGCTGCCCAACCCTGCTAGTAGAGCTATTTAACAAGCTTGAGATATTACAGTAAATTGTTCTCTTAAATTCTCTATACAAAAGAATGAGAGTCCTAGGTTGAGAAAATCATTTCCCTGTGACTGAATGTAGAAATCAAGTGCTAGTTTTCAGAAACAGGTTTTGACAACAGTTTGATAATCATCAAGATACTGAAGACAGCTCCAACAAGTATCTTCATAATGCTGGATTAGATATGAAATATAGGTCTATTCAGAAATAAGGCAGGTCATATTCTTCTATGCATATTATTACTTTGCAATCTCCTTTCCCTATCAGATCTTCACAAGTCCTCCTGTTCCAGGTTCAGCTATGAATTATAGATAATGTTCTGACAAAACTATTAAGAAGATGAAATAGCAGCCAGGCTACTTCAATACCTTGTATCTGAAACTTGAAACAAGAAGAATATATTTAGAAAATACTCCCTGATGTTCTGGAGTTAGGTTCTGAAATAGAATACATCTAGTTTGAAGAGCCTCAATAAATTCTTATTTTGACATACCAACTTCTGGCAGAGAAGTGAATGCCAAGGAAATAAAGAACAGCAAGTAAATTACTATTGAAAACAGAAACATTACACACATTTCTGGTTTTGCAATTTCTGATTCAAATGCACAGTTTGGTTTTTTTTCTTAACTAGAAAGGAAAGTCCTTGAAACTTTGAATCAGATCTGTGGTATGGCAGAGAATTTATCTATTACTATGTCAGGCAAAACTCAAACTAATCCCACTAGTAACCATATGCACACTTAAGTAGGAACCTGGGACTGCAGGTTGAAAAAAAGGAACTTTCTTTGAAGGCAGTTGCCAATTCTACCTTTTTTTAATCTTTAAAATAACTAAAAATTATTACGTACTTTATCATGCCTGTAAGACAGGCACATTCACTATGGCACATGAACACGCATATATACATGTGAAGAATAATTTGCACACTTAGAGAATTTCTTGTATCACATACTTATAGTTCTGCCATAGTTAGGTGATTAGTCACCTAACACAATTTTTTTCACCTTGAGCCTTTACATTTTCACCACACTGAAAATTCATCATGATGCGATTTTTTTCCATGAAACCTGCAAGCTTCACACAATACACTTCCTTCAGTGCACCTTTTACGTCCAACATAGGAAGTCTAAAATAACTTAGGTGCAATTAGACACAAAAATTCATTAGCTGCAGGTGCACCTCAAGCTTCCAGAACTCCCAGCAGTCTCATCATTATGAGTCACCCTTCAGTGCATTAGCTCTAAATGAGCCAGATGTGTTGAAATATTTAAGTCCTTACTTAAGCCCCCAGGGATTTTAGAGATATTCTTCTACTTGTAATGCATTTGCATATCTTGCTAAAGAGATGATGAGGTACATACACATATGGAAGACACATACATTTCTATAAAATGACATAAAATACAGTCAGGTTTTCATTAAATCTATGTTTCTTTCTGGATAATATATTAAAAGTAAACACAAAGTATTTAGTCTATCTAGTTAAGCTGAAATTAACTGGTAAGAATCTATAAAGGTATTTTCTCATTAGTTCAAAGTTTATAGGTACACTGAGCTTTGGAATAAATAAAACTGTTTAATTTAACTAAAATTTCAAATTTTTCACCCTGTTTGAGCCACAAGAAAGAAAACAAAACTTCTAAAAAATTTCCTAAATATTACAAAAATCAGTGCCCCTCAGAACATTACTGATATTAAATGACAAACTTAAGGTGCCTTCAAATGGTAGTCAAGTTACCCACCCATACTGCTCTTTGAGCACAAAAATATATGCAGCATGTTTTCCACTCATGCAGTTCTATCTCATTTCCTAACTGCAGTAAGATGAGTTGGAATTACTTGAACAACAGTCATCACTTCATTCAGTTTCAAAGATGATTAATCTAACAAGACAAAATAAAACTAGGTATAAGTAAATGCAGAGCAAAACCTAGGCAAGCAAAAGGACATTTACTGTGTAAGTCTATGGCTTTTCTAGGAATGTGGATTATCAGTGCCACCCTAAGCCAAGTGTACTAACAAACTGGGCTGGTGCTTTTTCATCATTCCACATTAGTATGAAAGTACCTTCAGCATCAGCAGACGTCATACTCTAAGACAGTCAGCTGTTTCAATTTCAAATGCTTTAATACTGTGATTAATCGGTAACTATATTTTGTTGCTATACTATGTTAGATATATTACTTCCTGATTAACAACCCTTGAAATAATGTTATTCTGGATTTGGTCAGATAAATATTCTCTGAACTCATGGCCAATAACCTATCCACAGCCATGCTGGGCTTTCTTTGTAAATTTAGATTCCAATTTAAGTTTTGTTTGCTTTCCACAGTAATTGTATCACACTAGTATGGCATCTGTTGTACTCACACCTCTAAGAAAATATTCAGGATGTTGATGAAAAAGCTTGCTACTTTCAATGTATGACCACATTAAAAATTACAATCTCTTGGGTTTTCAGCTGGTTCTTCTAAACACATTAGGCCTATCAGCAGGAAGTTTTTATTTATTTTTTTTTAACTGACTAAAAGCTTTTCCTCTGGTTACTAAGTGGATATCTCCAACATCAAAGACTTTTCAGCAGTAGTCTATGTCACGTGAATTTAAAAGTGAAGGTGTATCTTCCATGGCTCAGTGTATTCAGAGATACTTTTCTGACAAAAACATCTTTAAAAGGTACATTCATATAGTAGAGGGCAATTGCATTTTTCTTGATGGTATGGACATCATGGCTTTTATTTAAGCAGTATTCAGAAAGGGAGGGAGGTGTTGGTTATGTATAAACTGCAATTTAATAACTGCAAATACACCTTCAGGTTCTGAAATTTAAGCAAACGGTCCAGAAAATTAACTATCATCTAAGGCTTCATTGTAATTTTGTGCACATTGTATATACCAGTGGAGTAGGACTGCAACTATGTGATTTTCAACAGAATTGACTTTGATATGATTTGAATTTTCTTTATGGTTTCAAAAATATAACATTACAAACAAAAAATATAATGAAACATTACCTGATGAACGTTTACCAGCTAATATACATGTACTGCATACAGACACATTATCTCAAAAGGAATTTTGAAAATATTCCAGATCTGATCGAACATAGATATTTCAGTACTGCATAAAGTACCTCATTGGAGCAAGATACCACTGGCTCCAAAGCTCACTCCCCTCTGCAAACACCAACTCTAGTCTGCTTTTAAACCAATTCTCAGTGATGATTTCCATTATGTAGGGACCTTCTGCGAAACAAAGCTAAAGGAAAATAAACCAGCCCATCAGAGCCAAAACCAAAGACATAAGCTGAGATTTTTCCTTTTCTGCAGAACAAGTAGCTGAACTTAATGTACATCATAAAGGCAATATTCCTGGGAAGCCTGTGTTAAGTGAAGCAAATCCAGCAAGACTCAAAAGGTGAAGCATATTAATGTTTAGAAGCAAATTCTGTAGAATTTAAGGTGTCAACTGTTAAATTCTTTACACAAACGACTTCAGTTCACACATGCCATGGCCATACTTTCCACAACAGCTTCTGCTAACTCCTATTTAAATGTCCTTTCACAAGATCAGCCATTATGCCAATAAATTGTTGAATTCAATATGAAAACAGGTATTTTCACCTTCCTCTTTTGTCCAAGTCTCTACATGTTTCAACATCCAAGAAAAGAATCTACAGGAACAACTTTCATGAAACTATCTCAGAACCTTGTTTTTATTCAAGGTTCAGGTTACAGAGGCTGAATTTCTGCCTGCTTCAGCTAAAAAATGAAAGGTAATTTATCACCTGCTTTCAATCTGGAAATTAATGGAACCAGTTCTTCTGGAGAAGACGGTTAACCAAGCTCTTCTATACTATTCCCTTCTTCCTAGATAGGAAGATTATAAATCTTTTAATTTTGAGTGAACAAGGTGCTAATGTAATTTTACACATAAAATTAGTTTTGTAAGCAGATTTACATTTTAAGCACCATCTGCTCTCTTATATGACCTCTGGCTTTAAACTGAAACACTTAAGATTGCACTGTTACAGTGAAATATTCTAACAAAGTGCAAATTTAATTTTTTACTTAATTAAAAGCAAAATCACATTTTGCAGAACTCTTCTTTCAGCAAAATATGAAATCTGAAGTAACTTTCTAGGAAGGTGACAATGTCCAAACATATTTGAAAACTTCACAGGTCAAGCAGACTCAAGACTACACAAATTCACTCAAGAATTTGTGCCTAAGGAGCTTGAGTTAAATTACATCATAAAAACCCACCATATAAACTAAATAATGATTAATATAAACTAAATACAAATTATTGAAATTAAATAAATATAAGTTGATTCATTTCATTATACACAAATTTTATTTCCTTAGATTTTTTTAGTACCACAATAAAAGTTAAAACATGAAAATACAAAAGGAGCCATCATAACACTAAAAATCAAAGTCTGATGCAACTCAAAACATGGACTAAGATAGGAAGTAAACTTTTATCACTAACCAGATGGTGCCTCTAACCAAGCCTGCTAGGGAAAATATACATCTATTTCTATATATATCTATATAGAAATAGATATATGTGCTTATTCAAAGACCAAAGTGCTATCACTATGGGATGGGAATTTGTCACATGAGGGACATGTATTTTAATTTGCCTTTTCCCAATCATATCCCTTGCAAGATGGTAACAAATCCCATTCATGCTGCCATTTTCACAGAAGTATTGACACTTTGCATTGAAAGAGAACTCTGCAGCAAAGGGAAAATGAAGATGGGAAGTTTTCTCACTGGGTCCCAGCAGGACTTGCACTGCAGCATCCCCAGCTGTGACTCAGAGTAACACCTGACTGCCCAGAGGCCAAGCAACTCCTCTTTCCTGAACCCTTAAAATAACCATGCAGTAGAAGTGACTTTAAGAGTGCCTACAGCTTGTACCATCTGCAAGCCTTCCTAAAATACCTTTTCTTTAGAAATAAAGGTAAAAGATCAGATAGGAATTTTAGTTCTTAGATCAGCTAAAATTAATCTGTATTCTGATCATCCAAAAGCAAAAAGTACAGGGTTCTCTCAGAAGGAGCTTAACTACAAATGCAATGAGAATGTATTTTAAATAATCTTCCAGGCAAGAAATGAATTTCTGAAGTTGTAAAACACTCTCAACACCACTGAGGAGTTTGGTAAGGAAATCTTAACCCATTGATAATACTTTTTTTCGACCACAACACAAAAATGGACTTGGTTGTATTCCTCAATTCAGTTCTCCCTCATCTAGCATTTACTATCACCCTCTGATTTTGGTGACTATACATCTACTGGTCTTGAGCATCCAGAAGAAAGGAAGAAGATGCAGATAAATAAGTCAGTCCAAATCAGTCATCTTTATAAGGTACTGAATTTCAAGTAAAAGAAAAAAAAACCAAAAACCATTACTAAGCATGGAATAGAAAAATAAAGAAGCATCTTTCAGCCACCAGAAAACACTTCAGATAATTTGTTTTTTTAATTATTACGGAAATAAGACCACTAGATGCAATTTCCATAGGTCCTGAACACTGTTTTGTTCCTCCTTGAACCCAAACAGAAGACTTACTAACTTCAGAGCTGCCAAAGCACACTCTGCAATATCCTACTGATAAATCATTCCATTGTTAAATAAAAAAAAATGAAGTTATCACAAAAATGCTCAGTCACATAATTGTCAATAATCCTTCAGGTGAACTATATTATATCACCCTTGTCAAACCACTGAAGAGATCTGACTTCCAAAAGCAATCACTGGACTTGTATCAAAATTGCCTTGTTGATTGAACTATGCATACAGGAAAGCAAAATTAGGACAAAAAAGATTTTCTGAAAACCAGTATCAGAGAAAAGATTTTTTCACATCCTTTTAACACAAACTTGTCACAAGAGCATAATTGCAAACAAAAATGTAATTTACCTATAACTACATCATGGCCATCAACCAGGCCTGCAGAGAACAGCTCCTGAGAAACGCCATCTGCTGTGTCTGTCCAAAAGGTGAAAGGAATAAGTGTGAGAGCCCACAAAAACAACAAAAAGTATCAGTCATCCAATGCAATTTAACAAAAAATATATTTTAGTTCCAAAACACCCATGGAGACAGGATTGAATTCAAAATTATCTTTAATTAGGAGGAAAAATGATAATTATCTTATCAGCTTCTGCACAGCAAATTGCATAAGGTAATGACTTGATCCATTGCAAACCCCCTACAGAGCTCTCCTGGCCACCAGCACTTCTCCTCTGTTATCTAATGACATCCTCATACACATTTTACAAGTTCAGTATCTTCCCAAGCAAGAAAATAAACAATGCTTTAGTGTGGTTTTCACTGTTTTCTTTATGCCCTCCATTGTTCTGCATATCTAGACAGAGACATGGTGAATAGGCTTTCTTGTTTGTTACAAGTGGGGTAAAGGACTTACATGAACAGTCATTATTTTGAGATCTAGGTTTTAAATAGCTTTTAAGTATTGTGACTTAGGAAATTCAAAGCCTTGGATGGATTTTCTATTAATTGCTGTACCTGAGTGGGTTATTTCCTAAGTCCCTGTGACTAGTACTTGCCTTGGATAAAGACATTTGAAGGCTTAGATGTAAGTAGGCAAGAACAGCAGGAACCAGCCTAAATTCCAGCTAAGTAATGTGGCCTTCAACTGTACTGTGGCCCCATCACTAACCCCCCTAATGGAGCTCATGCTTTAAGGCAGTTACACAAAGTTTTATCATTTCCTCAAGAAACACAGGTAAAAAGCAAGGTAGCTGAGCCTGCAGTTTCTGGAGATGAGAAGCACGGCTGCCTTCTGGCTGCCTCAGTGACTGACTATAGGAACAGTCCTGGTCTGTCCTCTCATTTTTGTCCAAGCCGGAATTTTCAAATGGCTTAAGTAACTGCTTCCCAAGTAATTCTTTTGGCAAACTGAGATGTTCTGTACCCAGTTAAGTAACAGGCCTCTTTTCTTTTTACTTATTGTCAAAATCAACCAGAAAAGAAGGTAGACAACACAGAATATACCCATGCACAGAACCATTGCACACGAAAGAAACTACGATTTACTGTGAAAGAGACTCCTCTTCCAATCTGGATTTATTTTTAGGTGAAAGCTCCTTGAAGGCTAATCTAAATAAAGTGAATACTGACTTCTAAGGAATATAAAATAGGTTCATAGTTCAGAGGGTTGCAGTTTAATGAGGATGATACCTTCTTACTTAAAATATTCGTCTTCTGTGCATTTCATCCCAGTAATACTTGGTTTTCTTCAAACAAAGGCAACTATACAAGTTCTTACAGCTCTGCCACTGGAAAGCCTACAGTTCTACATGTAGATGCAGTAGAGTTTAAAGTTTCAATATCCAGAATTTCTTTCTGGTGATAATACCAAAGTTAGAGATACAGCTCAACTTTCAGCTGAAGATAGCACTTGAAAAATGGTGTGCATTTTATTCTCGTTAATAGACTTTCTTTTATTATAAAAGGGAAAGAAACTTAAAAATTACCACCATCACCACATACATTTTTATGGCTACTATATTCTATTTCCTACAATGTTTTCCAAATGTGAAAATGGAAATATTGCTAGGCAAGATCTTATATACCATATAGATCATTTCAATAAGATATGAAATTGATAAAAGTATCCTGTGAATAAAGTCCTCCAATATATATATTATGCAACCTTGCCACTAGAATTTACATACATTTGCAATTCTTACTCCACTGAGGTTTAATATAAAGCTCTGCACAGTAGGAAACATTCCAGAGAGGCAGTCTGCATTAACCATAAGCAGTAATCCATTTCTGAAATGCCTTTTTAAGCAGTAAGAGAATAATTCAGTTGCAGGAACCTTACCTCTGCCTGGAGTAAACTCAAACCGTATGTCATTAAGTTCTTTCCTGGAGTTCCTGAAAAAGTCAGTGCATACATTAAAATGTAATGAAGAACAGAACAACTATTCACTTCCTACACCCAAAGAATACCTCTGGCATTGACAACCACTATTTTGTTGCATGTATTTCCTTGAAAATACTGCTTTCCCAAAGCACACAGACTGGAAAGACTCTGCTGCATTTTCATGGCTGTATTTTTGGAAAACTAGCAGAAAAATATGCTTAAGTTGAAAATGCATTCAATAACATAAAGGATAAAGTCCTTTAAAATAAATTCCTCTGTTTAGGAGACAAAGTATCTAGCAAATATTACATGCTGAAAAGTAGCAGTAATGCAGTATTTGTAAAAGCATTTCAAAATTAGTAACTTCTTTCTCTGACCATCCTTGTCTCAGCAGTGAGGTTCCACCTACACATAAAATGAGCAGTAAAATGTTAAATCCCAAGGTTTACTGTCTTCCCGCTTGCCACAAAGAGTGTTTTAACCAGTTCAGTGTGTGACACAGTCATAAGGGAGTTAATATCAATGTTAAAGAATTCCTTTACAGCCTTATACTGTGCCCCAAACCTCCATTCCATACATGTTTACAGCTTCAGGTTTAGTTAATAATTTCTTCCAGCAACAAAACATTAGCCTCTGCAAAACAGACGTCCATCACATTTTTGGAAATGACAAGTCAACTGAGTACAGGGAGGAACCTAATTGTAATAGCCTGCTTTTTTTCTAATGAATAGCTCAATCCACTTAAAATGCTAATAGCAACAGAATGTGTTTTGCAGTTCATTATTCTTCTCCTCAGCAAGGAAACTGTATGCAAGCTCATATTTCATACCAGGCCATGAAGTCGTGCTGTGGGAAAACTACATCCAATAGGCAGGCATATTCAGTGGTGACTTACAGCTATTATTGCTTGCTAAATACTTCTAAGAATATTACAGAGCCAAAACCAGCAACACGCAGAAACACAAAACCCAGAATGATTGGCAACACACACAACAAGAAGATATCAAACCTTGAAAAATGAGTATGCCACATGCAGTGCTTAAAATGAAAAGTACTCCTTTACTGAATCAACTAAATGTTTCAAAGCTGAAGGAGTTTCAGGTTCCCAAAATTCTACACTAAATAAAGAACTATAGGAGTTTAAGATCACTAACACAAAGCTGCAGGCAATGAAGCTAGCCAGGTACGGATTTACAAGGCTCATTTACTTCTGCTGTAGAAGTCTGCGGCTATTATATGGAATATTTGCACTATTTTTATTCAACAGAGAGTTAGTGTGAACCTCAGTTATTCCCCCTTTTCTCTCTCTCCTAGAAAAACGTGGATGGCTTTCTGTTAAAACAAACAACACCAAAAAATGATAGAAAACAAGCCATCTACTTAAGACCCATCTCCAGGTTTCCTTTGGACAAAAAATTTCTTTCCAAAAAAAAGGAAAATGCACAGAATTTTAGAATTATTCTTAAATAAGAAATGTTCTGACTGAATGTGTGATGTAACTCAAATGCTCATTTCCTGCCAACACTTTGGAAGAAACAAATCAAACCAATGAAAACTTTCACACCTTTGCAGAGGTAAACCAAGAGTTAGGAACTAGGCGATCTTCGAGGTCCCTTGCAACCCAAACCATTCTGATTCTATGACCAAGAAATCTAATACATTTTCTCCAATTACATCTTTCCACACACCTCCCATAAGTAGAACATCTACCATGTAAAAAGGCACTAAGTAATTATGAACTCTCATAAAAATTACCAGTTTTTCACAGCTGTGTGAAAGAGGAGTTTCTCCTGATACAGACTCTTTCCTCCAGCAGGATGCACATGGGGTGTATGTTACTTTGTCTCTAAATTCCAAAATATCCCGAATAAATAGTTAAGGAGTCAAATCAGTTTTTTTTAGTCAAGCTGCAAATTCACTGAAGGTTGATACGTATTCAGCAATCCAACTTTGCTGTTGAGAACTGCTACACTCTGAACTATTCTGAACTTAAGACACTGCTGCTTTCTCTATAATGTTATACAACTATTCAGGAAAGCAAAACAATGGAAGTTTGGCAAGATTAATTTGCTAGAAGCCTGTAAGTGCTTTTGCTTATTGTTCCATTACCTTCCAGACATTTATTGATTTCAATAAATTATGTATTCCATTATATAATCCACCAAATAGAAGGTGCACTTGAGCTTTCCCCTAAAAGCTCCTCATGCTCTTTTCCAGCCTTTAGACACTTCTCTGGTTCTAGTAAATGCCACTGTAACTACAAATTAGTTTGCTAGTTCCCTTGGTGACAACTGTTTGGATTTGTTGATTTATTTGTAGGCAGAGTTTCCATGCAGCATTTCATTCGTTCCTTCTTCTTACTTACATCCATTTACACTCTTATCATGCAGCAGCACACAGACTTTATTTCTGCTATATAGAAATAGGATTGGAAGAAAGGCACTTAGTATCTTTGTGATTAATAATTTTATCTTCTTCATCATTTCTTAATGGTTCCTATTTTCTCAAATGCATTTGTGAAAAAGTTATTTCTATTTTAAAATGCCAACTCAGACCTTTTTACCATCTCTTAGAAAAGCTCTTATGTGCTTCTAGCACTATGCCATTACAGACTAATATACCTTGATTACCATGGATAAAACCAGCCCATCCCTCATCTCTTTTTAAAAGTAGTAAATTTTAAGTATTTTTGTGCATTTTAATTCACTGCAAATTGATTCTCACTATGCACTCACTTCCAACAGGAAGAATTCCAAATGTTTTGAATAAGGATGACACCAAAGCACACCATGCTAAGATATTTTGGCAGCCATCTTTCTGGCGAAGTAATTTCAGAATCTAAAACTTCCCACTTTGTTAAAGTATGTTCTGCAACTCTTCATTATTTTTTTATTTTCATCCGAACCACTTGATGTGCACACCAAGATTGCTAGATCTGATTTTCAACAGAATAATGCTTCCTCAAAGAAGCAGAAAAAGGGCTACCCACTTAGTCCCCCACCAACAGACTTTGGCAATCTTGTCATTAGCATATAAAAGAAAGATACTTTGTTTTGAAGGAAGTTATTTGCAAAACAATGCTAATATTGACCAAAATCAGGATTAGAGAATAAACAAATTATGCAGCTGTTCAGATTTATATGGTTCTACTGACAAAATCATAAGACATGAGAGAGATTTCAGGCATTTGCATTTAAGGACAAAGCTTTCAAATAATTACCTAATGATAGTGTAATTCCTGCTACAGTCAATTATCTCTGTTCCACATGATTGACAAAAGATGTGCATTGTTGAATTAAAACAGAAAATTGTTTGTGTAATGATACAACTATAAATTAGAGACATCAAATGTCATTATTTCTTTAGTCCTTAAAAGCAGAATGTCTGTCATGTAAGTGCAATTCAAGAAAATAAGATGTCTTGGAATTAAACTTTAGGACTAAATCATGCTGGCATACTTTGATGATGTGTCAAGCAGTAGATTTTCTTTCATTTTTGCTACCTTTTTTACCCTCACAAATTAATCTGTCATTTCTTATGCAGAAAAACACAGCTTCTACTTCACACAAGCTTCAGCATCTTCCATACAGCTCTCAGAGAGTCTGTATTCCTGGATGAGATGCCTCCTACCATAGCTAAGTAACTGTGTATTCTTCCTTCCCAATGTAAGAAAAAATTCTCAGACAAGGTAAGCCAAAAGAAGTGCGTGTGCATGTGTAAGAACATCCACATTTTGTCACTCCTTTGCTTGCCTAATTTTCAGATTTCCGCTACTCAATCATCACGTGTGGTTTCCAAAGACTGATGTAGGGAGCTAAGTGTCCAAGAATGCAGGTACTGACAGAATGGTAACCACCACAGCTGATTCATGACTGGAAGAGACAACAGCAGAATGCAGAATACATATTCTTTTTTAGAACCAGAAATAAACTCATCTTTAACCAAAACTTTAGAAACTTTATTATGAAAAACACCATAACAATGGTGCCACGTGGCACCCTTCACCAGTCAGCTTTTTCCCTCCTCTTGCTGCTAAGAAGCCTTATTCCCACTGGGACAGAAGCTTCCTCACCAACAGGGACTAATGACACTGGCCAAGTCTAAGTCAGTGTGCTTCAACAAAAAAATACACTAAAAAGTAAAAAAAAAAAAAAAAAAAAAAAAAAAAAAAAGAAATTTAAAAATAAAAAGAAAAATCACAATTATCTCACTTGTACAAAATTTCAGCTCCACAGATGTTCCTACCATCTAAAATTTGAACTGCATTGGAACGACCATGGAGGCAAAGTTAAATGGAAAAAACAAGACAGCATAGCCTAAGAAGCAAGGCCAAACAGCCTGACATTTGCAGTACCTTGCTGCAGTTGTTGCTGTAATTAAAACCACAGAAGAGTTCAAATTACTTGCTCATTTATACTGCAGAGAAAACAGAAGTTCACATCAAAATGAAGTGGACTAATCAGAGTGATAGGTGGGTTGTACATCCTAGAGCTGTACTCATCCAATTTTCATTACACATCTCTGGGGCAAGTGCATACAATGCAAGAAATATAATTGAGGGGAAAAAAAGCACAGAAGAGTGGGGTTTGCAGGTTCATTTAAAACAAGTTTTAATTGCATTTCTTTTCTTGCCAGAAAAACTGCTGGAGAGACAAATGCTTGGTGTCACCAAATGTCACTCAAATTTCAAAAGGTCATCTGCATTATCTCAGTAACATGTCTCCCATTTTTCTCTTCCATGTGCTTAAGGCAGAAAGCCCACGATAAACACCATTCCCCATGTAGCCTATGTAGCCTTGTTTTCATACTGTTAGCTTATTTCGGTGGTGTTGTATTTTTTATTAACGGCAGAATTTTAAGTATTAAATACCTGTACTGATGATCTGTAGTACCTCTTTCTTATCCCACTTTTGATTAATTAAAACTTTAACTTTTTTTACAGAACATAGGTAATATACACACAACCATGAAATACAGACTGACACTTTACTTTCAATATTATGAAGAAGATGAGGAAGTAAAATCTTGGAATAAACAAGTAAAGATATTCATTCATTCCATATTTGAGGTTTAGCCAGGTCTCAATCTTCTATGCATTTATGTTCCCTGCCTTATAATTTTCTTATGCTTCAGCTGTGGAATTTAGCTATTAATCTAGGGCAGACCAAGTGAGAACCCTCTGCTACCTCAACAGAAATCACAGTTCACTTTTTTCCTGCTCCTGCCCCCATTTTCTTGATTTCTGAAGTCATTATACTATGCACACAGATGAACCAAAGCAGGAATGAAGAAATCTGTTTATTAATGTAATTTCGTGAATCAGAACTTGAAGACTCCTATGGGATCGTATAAACACAACAGAACTGAGCATTTGTAAAGAAGCATTAGCCTCCTGAGGATTCGCCACATGCTTATGCAAAGTACTTTCTTTCTACCACTTTCATGCTCAGTTGTCATTTACTAATCAATACTCAGGCTCCTCCATTACAAATTACCATACTATCAAGAGCAGATCATGCCTGTTCAGCACTGTGGAGATTCTAAATTAAACAAAAAGGCATTGCTGCCAACTTTTTGTAAGAGCAAAAGAGATGTAAGAATTCTTTTCTGCCTCCAGATTGCCACCAAGAAGAATGGGACTAAAATCTCTCTGTGTTAATAAAAAGTGGTCCCAAAGTAAACAGTTATTTGAAGTTCATTAAAACCTTACCATTTACATCACTGGTTCTAGAAAAACTCCACGAGTTTACAACTTAGCTCCCTCTATATATATTACTGAAAAAAGGAAATACGTTTAGTAGATGATATTTCATGATCAAGTTATAGGACTCAACAGTTTAATTCACAAAAAAACGCCACTACTATTTACTTAATCATCACATGATCTTGGGCAAAGAGCAGATCCCTCAGATGATGCAAAGACTTGCTGATCAGTACACATCAAGAGGTAAGCAACAACACTAAGAGCAAAGCACAGCCAAATGATGCTTTCAAGAGTGGAAAACAGGCAATGCCAAAATGAAACACTGTCATTTGGCTTTTAAGCTGTTGGAATGAGACAGCAGCAGTTACCAGTTAAAGATTTACTGTCTCTATGCCACTTACCATACAGAAAAGGCAAGTGTACATTAAAAAAAATCAGCCACCAAGGGAATTGTTATGGTCACAATCAGATCAGCTATGAACACTGTCCGAGGCTCCAGGGCAGCTGAGAGCTCCCCCCGCAGGAGAGGTCTTTACAACACTTCTATCCAGAGCTGATAGGTCCAGATTGCTTAAGACTCAAAAGTCTAGTAGAAATGGATGGGATATGATAGTGAAACTTAGAAAATGTGTGACAGAAGAAACACGACAAAACTGATACATTTTAGAAGTGAAATAATATATATTAAGTCCTTTCTCTGAATCCACTGGTTTACAGCCTCAAGTCTACATATTGTGACAAAGAAGTGTTAGAACTAGAGACATTTTAAATATATCTACATCCAAATATGCCACTTCTCTCTTTCTGCAGTTGCTGATGCCAGAAGCTAAATCAGAAGAACATTAAAAGCCCTTCAATTTTTTGACTTGCTATGTTCATTTCCAGCTAAGTCAAGCAGCAAATTCTGAAACAATATTTTTTGCCTCAGTTATCAGTGACTCATTTCACTGCACAGGCAGTGAAAAGCAGTATTCCCTTGCATCATCTTTTTTTAAGTTCACACTTCCTACCTGCTCTCATACATCAGCAGTGAGAATAACTTTGGCAAAGAGCTATCAGGATTTTTGCAGCAGAGATGGCAATATTGATCATAATTTTTTTCCTCTGAAATTACTCTGAAGTAGCACGGAAGTTTTTTTTAAGAGCAGTGGTAAAGACTCGACTTCTGAAAAGCATCAGTTTTTAACAAGTGCTTGAAATACAAAGAAGGGCATGCACAATTATACTTAGAATTTATTAATGTGGTAAAATCTTAATGCTTGGTAGAAACCAGAGTGATCTAAAACAGACTTTTTTCTAGGAAGAACTGGAATTAAGTACAGAGAATGTCAGTAATGTTATCAAACAATCACCTGGAAAATATTCAGAGAGCGTTTCAATAACAGATAGGACAACATGCACATAATTTGATCACTTTGTTAAACATTACCACGCATTGTGGTTATAGTTGCCTTTCTGGATTTGCCTTTAATTTAACTTATCCACTCTGAGTGTATCTCTGAAAGATCTCTGTAAGTCTTGATACCAAATATTATTGATCAGTGAACACTTTAAGGAAGTCAAACCTGTATTAGCTGCATGACTGAAGTGATACACCATCTGCCTGACTGACAAGAAATACCAGAGCAACTTAGCAATTAAGCACACAAAAACATGCTTTGTATGCTTCTGCATGCCTGGTGCACAAGAAGAGGAATTATTACCTGTTATTCCACTGAAAAATTCTTCAAGTACAGGGTTGAAAAATAGCCACAATGCTTGAAGCAAAATTTCAGTTTCTTAAATCAAAAAATGTGAAAGGCCAATCATTGCCAGGAGGCCGGGGGTGTTTCAGAATAGAGCTCTAGAAAAAGAATTTTATTTATCAAATCAAGATAAAAGACTTTCAAGTTCTACAGGTACATGGAGTTTTTCAATAGAAACTTGTAATTTCTCTGTGCACAAAACAGGCTTTGAGGGGAAGGCACAGAGAAGCTTTTGACTTTATCCAAATCAAAGAAAGTTTTGTTGAATCCAAAACTCCCTGGAAGTGTGAACATTTTTAATGCCACTGGCTCTGAGTTTTACAGTCCTGATCACATGTCAGTATATTACTGTCAAACAAAAGGAGACTTTTAGGTAAATCAGAAAGACATCTGAACCACCAAAAAAATTACAATCTGTCTCTCATCCATCTAAAAGTCATGGATCCTGACTAGCTTATCAAAGAGTGGGAAGCATGGAAAAAAGTCTAAATTTTGGTTTAAAACCTTCAAAGGTTTCATCTGTTTATCCTGCCTGACTTTCTCTTCACAGTAAACCAGTTTCACCAGCAAAGTCTGCTCCTATGTTAAATTCTTGTCACACCTGTGTCCCAGTGCACTTCTTGTGGCCACTCTCTGGCCCCACTAGAGCAGTGACAAATATGGAGCAAAACAAAATAAATAAAATTAGTTCCATGAAAATTTTGCCTTCCCCTCAAAGGTATCAGAAGTCACAAACCAACCAAAACCTGGCTGCTTTACAGTGACCCAATACAGTCCCAGAACATTCCTACCAGTGGAAAGACAGAGAACCACACCACTAAGTGGGAACAGACGAAAGTATTTCAAATGGTTTTAGCCCTGCTCAATGTACTACACCACCACATTCACAGGCATCTCTAGAGCAGATGGGTGAAGATAGAAGTGTGGGGTCTCTAAAGGTAAAAGAAACATTTTTAAAAGTATTAGAAAAATATCTAATTAGAATTGAATTTTGAACTATCAAAATGCAAACCCTATTACACTTGACAAGTACATGCCATTAATAATACAAATAAAATTACTTTTAACACTGAGACTGATTCAAGCTTTAAATTGTTTCCTTTAACATAAAGAAGGTTGGTGGTGGTACTTAGCCTTCATTGTTATTTTTCATTCCTCCTCTTTATCTTTCTTTTGCAAATAGTACCAAAAAAAAAAAAAAAAAAAAAAAAAGCAGAATGGAATAAAAAAACTCTAGTGACTTTAAATTTTCAGTATCAGCAACATCCCCAGATGCAACTGCCTGCATAATTTACACCCTCAGCTGTGCAGGTTAAAAGCCTAATTCCTTTCCATCTAAATATTTAGACATGCAAATCTTCTTGATAACCTACATTTAATAAGCAGAAAAAATGTATTGATCCCTTGACTCAATAATTATAAACTTTATATTGTTTTGATAAAAAAATACCATTTCTATATAAATGAGTGACGGTAGAGCAATTGCATACCGGATTAT